CAGATTTTCTTCTACCTCGCTATTTTTTCCTCAGTTCTCCTCAGCTGGATCTGCCACCCCCCACCCCCGCCCGAACATAAGGTTTCAGAGTGTCTCAGGGTTGTTCTTTGACCCACATTTCCATCCACGCCCTCTCTCAATGTGACTGCATTAGTCCTCTGGCCCTAAGTACTATGCAACTTCTGATGTTTCCCAAGTTAGTAGTTTCACCAAGTTAGTAGCTCCAATCCTGACTTCCTTCCTGCGCTCTAGACTTTTCACTTCTTAATTAACATCTCCGTTTGGAGGTTGTCTTAATTGAGTCCTCTGTAAAACAGAGCCTAAGGCAAGGATTAAGGATCCTGAAGTTTTAATCAGGATGTGCAAGTCCTTGGTATTGAGTGTAGGAGAAAAAAAGGCAAGGAGGCAGAGGTGTGATACGATGTGCCGAGCAGCATTATCATTCTGGCTTCCACCTTGGAAGGCTGCCAAGAGACCCAGGAGGTCACTCAGAAGTTGTGTTCACTCAACCTATGGGACTTCTCTGGGAGAGCTGCTCAAGGCTATTATATCCTTGAGTTGTCCACAGGAGAAGGAAACATGAAGACTTTGTCGGGTTCCTTTTTAGCCCCATTTCCCTTCGTTCACGGTCCACCCTCAGGTTGCTAACTCCATACTTCTGGTATGTGTAATCTAAACCCTTGCTGCCATGTGGGAAGCCACCTTGCAGGGTGATGTGCCATTAAAGTCTGGACATGGGGAAAGGCACAGAGCTGATGGAGCACAGACTGGGACTGAGGAAAAGAAGGAGGCTGAACAATGTTTGTGACCCAATGCACATGTCTATCAGACACATCAAAATGAGCATGACCAGGGGCGCCTGGGTGGCGCAGTCGGTTAAGCGTCCGACTTCAGCCAGGTCACGATCTCGCGGTCCGTGAGTTCGAGCCCCGCGTCGGGCTCTGGGCTGATGGCTCAGAGCCTGGAGCCTGTTTCAAATTCTGTGTCTCCCTCCCTCTCTGCCCCTGCCCCGTTCATGCTCTGTCTCTCTCTGTCCCAAAAATAAAAATAAATGAAAAAAAAACAAAAAACAAAAAACAAAATGAGCATGACCAGACAGAACTCTTGATTTCTTTCTTCCAACCAGACCGATTCCTTCCTTCCCCCACAGTCTTTCTCATCCCAGAAAGCGGCACCATTGTCTCCACCGCTAAACCTTAGTTGAGGGAACCATCACAGAAATGGCCTGTGAAGTGGTCTCCTCACTTCTATTCTTGCTGCCTTTCGACGTATTCTTTACACCTGCAAGAGTGACCTTTCCAAAGGTTATACAGCAATGCTCTTCTCCCCAGCTCTGGGACGCTGTTCCATCATTTAGGTCTCAGATCAAAACACTTACTAGGTAGGCTCTTCCTGACTTTCCTCTCAAAAGAGGCTCCATCTGCTAACACTGCCTGCATTACTGTATCCTTAATATTTACCACTCCCTGAAGTGGTCTCGTTATGTGTGTGTTACATATTGTTCATCTCCTCGCTATAATGTAAGCTCCATTCAGGTATAGACAGTCTATTATTTGTCTCACTGGACCCACGGCACCTAGTACAGTCCTGGGTACATAGGAGTGGCACTATGAATGCTCATTGAATGAGTGAGTTGACATAAGGAACAGTCGGTGAACTGAGGCCATAACGGTGGGGCAAGGAACACATTCATTTGCCTGACTTCTGATCTGGTTAGGTCTTTCTATAACTAGAAATTCTTTTGAGCGTGGAATATGGGAAACGTAAGAAGCATTATGTAGGTCTTACTAGAGTTCAAGGTGAGTCTGGGGATAGTTAACAGCCTTTCTCCTCTCTCCTTGGTTTAAATTAAACTTTTATTTGGAAATAATTGTAGACTCACATCCAGCCTTAAGAAAGGATGCAGAGAGTTCCCTTCCATTCGTATTCAGTTTCTTCCAGTGGTACCCCTTGCAAAAACTATGGCATAATATCACAACATTATGTGATTTTTAGCAATAGATTATCTTGTAATTAAGGTAAACACCTTGTTTTTTTTATTAAGCCATAATGCTATTGCACACTTAATAGACTGCAGTGTAACGTAAACATAACTTTTATATGCCCTGGGAAACCAAAATAGTCATTTGACTCACTTTATTGCAGTGGTCTGGAACTGAGCCTGTAATACCTCGGAGGCATGCCTCCAGTTCGTTCCTTCTGTATTGCTAAGTAATACTCCATGGGATGGAGATGCCACAGTTTGTTTGACCATTCACCCATGAATGGACGTCTGTGTTGTTTCCAACTTGAGGATATTACCAATAAAACTGCTATGAACATTTGAGTACAGGTGTCCGTGTGAAAGTCAGTTTGTCATTTCATGGGGATAAGAGGGCACGAGTGCGATCGCTGGGTGGTACGGCAGTGGCGTATTTATTTTTTTTTATACGAAATTTACCGTCAGCTTGGTTTCCATTCAACACCCAGTGCTCATCCCAACAGGTGCCCTCCTCAATACGCATCACCCAGCCTCCCCTATATATTTATTTTTTGAGAAACAGCCAAACTGCTTTCTAGAGTGGCCGTACCATTTTAGTCCAGCAGCAGGGTCTGAGTGATCTAGTCCCTTCACATTCGCACTGCCCTTGGAAAAAACAGACAGGTATTCCTTAGATGCTACTATGGGTCCGGGGGTTTGGGAATTCAATAACCAATTTTTTTCCCGCCCTATTTTTCTAAAAAGGCTGATGTTCTCTGTTCCTAGTTTAGGTCAGTAGGAGATTAACGATAAAAACCAACTGTCACCTAGGTAGAACAACCCACCAAGCATTTTCCTTTAAGAGGGGACAAGAAAGGAAACTCACACATTCCCTGGCCTCCCCGGTCCACTTCAAATAACATCGGAAATGATGAGCATCGCTTGAAGCTTTGGAATAGTCTTATGGCCAGATTTCTGTCAAAACCTTGATAAGCCATAGGAAAGCACGCACTCAAGCCACATCAAGCGGGTAGAGGACACCATGACATGTCTCCAGGTAGAGAGTTCCACAGATGGAAGCAAAAACAGCAGAAAAGCATCTTATCTTGCCAGAGCGCACCCTGGATTCAAGGCTGCGTCTAAGGTGGGAAAAACTGAGCTCTGGTAGCTGGGACTGGGGCCACGCTGGGATTTTTGCTTTGGGGGCTTGACAAGACAAAACTGAGAAGCAGAAAGGTCTGCTGTCACCTTCTGCCATGATTGTCCACGGTGTCATATTCCTGTTTCCTCCAGAGACCCGGCAACCTCAGCCCCCCGCCTTGCCTCCCAGCCTTGCCTTTCTCTCGCCTCCTCAAAGTCACCTGTTGCAAACACCTGAACTGTTTTGTATTTTATTCAACAAGTACTTATATAGTGGTTACGATTTTCTAGGCATCATTTTATATACATTAGCTCCATTAAAACATTTAGTGACTCTGTATGGTAGGAATCAGTAATGGCCCAATTTCACCTGTGAGGGAACTTAGACACAAAGAAGTCAGGTAACTTGCCCAAGGTCACACAGCTCAGAAGTGACAAAAAATGAGATTCAAACCCAGGCAGCCTGGCTCCAGCATCCATGTGCTTAATCACTATATTATGGTGACTTTCTATTATTGACAAATACGCTTTAAACGATTCTCTTTTGCAAGGCCATTGGTATTTCAGGAAGGGTTGGGGGTGCCAGACCGGCTCAGTTGGTATAGCATGTGACTCGACCTCAGAGTTGTGAGTTCAAGCCCCACGTTGGGCATGGAGCCTACTTAAAATAAAAATTAAAAAAAATAATAATAAATAATAAAATTAGGTGGGTGTTTCAGTTCAAGCCTTCCCAAAGGAATGAAACATTTAAATGTGGAACTTCAGACAGCAGGTAAGAGAGACATCTGGGGGCACCACTGCCTTTCAGGTGCTTTTGATCTATGTCATACCCTGTCACCCAGGCTAAGGCATGGACAGGAACCCCACAAGGACGAATTCATTGCACATAACAGCATTATCTTGTGAGGTTATTTCAAAGGACTGCAACTAACATTTAAGAAATGGGATTATCGAGGTGCCTGGGTGGCACAGTCAGTTAAACCTCCAACTCTTGATCTTGGCTTAGGTCATGATCTCATGATGTGTGAGTTCAAGCCCCGCATCCAGCTCTGTGCTGATGGCGTGGAGCATGCTTGGATTCTCTCTCTCTCTCTCTCTCTCTCTGCCTGTCTCCCCCCTCATTCTCTACTTCTCCCTCCTCCCCTAAATAAATAAATAAATAAACTTTAAAATTTTTAAAAATAAATAAATTAATAATAATAGAAAGAAAGAAATGGAATTGCTATGTGGCAGAAACTGAGCTAGGAGCCATACACACAATCTATCAACCACTCTGTGGGACACTGGACATTAATTCCTTTTTAGAGATGAGAAAACCGAAGCATCGAATGGTGGTGAGTGGCCAAGGAATTTGACTGAGGTCACGCAACCTGAAAAGGGCCATCCTAGTTAGGTGTGTCTGAAGCCAGCCCTAGGTCTGTCTGGTCTCTTCTTGCTAAACAAAAAATGACTAAAAAGTTCAACCTTCTAGTTTTGTGTTCTTTATTTTTGGTCAGAGTATCAATTTTGGCAAATGGCAAGGTAAGAATAGAACCTTCCATTTCCCTACCCATGAATCAGTTACTCCCTCAGATTTTCACATTGTAGAATATGGCACCATTAGCCTCGTACTCAGATAAGAAACCCAGAGCTGGGTCTTTGTTACCCCCTTATCCTGCATCCTTCATGGCAATTTAGCAGCAAGTGCTGTCAATTTCATTTCCAAAAATGCATCCTGAGTCTACTTCTGTCCACTCCACGATCTCCACCAGCCCGTGAGCCCAGGCTACCACCATCCACTGCCTCAACAGCATCAATTGTGCTTTGTGAGCACACCCCACTTCGTGTGCAATCTACCTCCAAATGGAAAATGTGTATGGGCTTCTTAAGATAAGGATTGGATCTCGTCCCTGTCTTCCAGCTGGATTCGATGCCATATTCCCCCTCTCTGACTAACCCCCAGCCGCAGCAGAAGAGCCATGCGCCTCCACACTTGGGGCCCTTCGCTCGTGCCGGGGTGGTCTCCTTCCGCCTTTCCCGTGGCTGCGACCTCCTCAAAGAGTGCCGCCGGATCTGCATTTTAGACATCCTCCCTCTGCTAAGATTAAGTGTATCAGTCTATCCACCCAAAGGCTCAGACCGGCACCTGGCATACGGTAAGCGCTCAGTTAATGTTAGTTCCTGTTAACTGCCTGATCATTGTTGTTCTAGTAGCTACTCTAAAATTGCACGCCTAGGTGATTTGTTAAATGAAGTAGGAAAGAGTAATAATATCAATATCTGGGCCCCCAGGAGCTTTTAAGAGAGCTATTTTCAGAGGAATAAGAATGTGGGCTTGTAAATTTTTTTCCCTGCCTTAAAACAAGAGTTGTCAGCTGCTATTGTCACACACGCAGTTACTTTGTGTCTAATGATAGTATGTAAAACAACAGCAACATAAAATGTATTTGGAGAAAATACAAGAGTACTTAATAGATTGTTAAAGGCAGTGTCTAAACCTGATTTTCCTTTTTTTGAATGTTTATTTATTTTTAGAGAGACAGAGAGCATGAGTGGAAACGGAGCAGAGAGAGAGGGAGAGAGAGAATCCCAAGCAGGCTCCCGGCTGTCAGCACAGAGCCCAACGTGGGGCTTGATCTCACGCGCAGGGAGATCGTGACCCGAGCCGAAATCCAGAGTCAGACGCTTAACTGACTGAGCCACCCAGGCGCCCCATCTGATTTTCTTAAATAAACCTCACCCAGCCTCTTACAGTCCTGCATCTCCTGTTTTCTATTACTTAGCAAAAGGTGCCTAAGCCAAAGTTTGTCCTCTTTTTTAACTTGCCAGTGTGCTTGCTAACAATGTGAGAAATCACTTCCCGAGACATGAGAAGAGGGACAAGAGTGAAGAAAAATTGGGTTAGAATAACCCACGAAATGGATCATTAGACTTTGTTCAAGTAAGCACTGCTGTTTAACGGAGAGAGAGGGGACAGTGCGGAAGCCCCACACCCGACAGGTGGCGAGGCTGGACTCTTCTTTGACAGATGGTGCTCCGGTTTATGCACAAAGTTGTCCGTCACGGCAGTCCTTGCAAGATATCACGTCCAAGGCCGGGGCCTGCTTTCATAGGTTACAGAACAGCCACTGGATGAACTATCATAAAGCCATTAGAATGATACTGGCAAGGAAATTCCAAAACATCACACGTTCCAGGGAAGTGCATAAACGAGGACTCTGAATGGGATGCGTTCACACGGTCCTTGTGCTAAAAGCCCTTGTTAAGGTTTTACTTTATTTCGGGCATCGTTCCCAAGTGCGGACAGACAGGACTGGCTTGGAAGGGGTCAGGGAGGGCACCGCGCCACCGACCCCTGAGTCGTTCCTCCTCATCTAAAAGCCAGGACTGGAGCCACACCGAAATATGAACACTGCCCATCACCGCAGGCTTTTCTTCGCTGCCCCTCCGCAGTTTGCAGATGTTCTGACGCTTTAAAAAGAAAACGCTTTTGTTCTCTTTCAGAGTTTCCCTGGAAACTTCTAAAAGGCAGCTGCTGCGGGATTGCATCGTCCCCTCTTCCCTCCGCAAATGTGCAAATAAAGCAACATCTCTATGCCTTTAATTTATAACAGGCTAAACTTTCCCCTGTAAGCTGATACTCCGACCAGAAGTCTGTGGGTGGGATGGGTGTTGTGTTTTTTGGGTTTTTTTTTTTTTTTTTTTTTTTTTTGTCACAGCTTCTTTGGGCCGATAAACTAGCACTTAAGTGTTTCCCTTTTCCAAACCTCCAAATGACAAGTGTCTTTGTGGTGAGGTGGCCGTCCAACTGTCACTGCCAGCATGAACGGTCCCGGGCACACTTATTTTTAGTTTGCTGTTTAAGCAACAGTTAGGCCGGGTAACCAGGGGCCTGGAGGCCTAGGCTTCTATGACCCAGAGCATGGAGCTATTAAAGAGACAGCAAGGCGAGGTAGGCGGACCTCGTCGGGAAGGCCCAAGCACCTGTTCTCCAGGTGGGCCAGCAAGACGAGGCAGGCATCTCGTCTTGGGCGACAAGATTGTAATCCACTTTTTACGCGGGCAAATTTTACCAAGGATGCTCTAAAACAGGAACGTGTTGACTCCACTTTGGATGCACGTAAAACCGGGCAGCCTCAGGGAACTAATTATAGTGACGAGGCTGATGGTAAAAAGCAGAGACCGTGGAAGACATCTGTTCTACGGCCTGCTCAGCATTCTGTTCGCCCTTCTGACAAAGCCTGAAGCAAGGTGCCTGACCTCCTGCGGGTCAAGTAGTGGTTTGTCCCCAAGCAAGGCCGATTAAGTCTCTCCAGGGAGGAGAAATCCTGTGTGAAGCGACATAAGGGAACCCTAGCTAAGGGGAAGCCCGTTCGTTTCTCCGACCTAGGTTTCCCAGCTTCCTGTCCTGTACAAAGCCAGATTCCATAGCTACCCTATGTGTGTGTGTGTGTGTATTTTTAAATTTTTTTAAAAAAGTTTATTTATTTTGAGAGAGAGAGAGAGAGAGGGAGAAAGCATGGGGGAGGAGGAGACACAAAGGGAAGGAGAGAGAATCCCAAGCAGGCTCCATGCTGTCGGTGCAGAGCCCAACATGGGGCTCAAACTCACGAACGTGAGGTCATGACCTGAGCTGAAATCGAGAGTCAGGCGCTTACCCGACTGAGCTGCTCAGGCACCCTTAATTTAGTTTTGGATTAAGTTAGCCCATGTTGGGGTTTCTTTGCTTGGAACTAAAGAACTCCCCCTCAGATAAGAACCCCAAATATTTCATTGAATATGCTCATCTCTGTCTGGCTCTGGATAGAAAGTCAATTTCTCCCCGCCCACCCTCTGCCTCAACATCCTAGCCCAAATATTTTCAGCTTAGGGAAAAATGAGTCCTCCCCCTTAAATAGGAACTGTGACATGCTGGGCCGTATGAAAGCATTGGTGATTTTTTTTTTCCCCTTCCTTTTTCCATGAATGCAAACTTCTTACCATGTCTCACTCAGGGGCAGCCAAACATCTCCTCTCATAAGGACCCTTCAGAGAGGAGAGGGAGTGAGGGCCTGCCCCCCACCCGAGTCTCACGCATTGCTGCTGTAGGACCTGGCTTTGCTCATCCTATGGTCCTCGAGCTGTAAAGCGGGCTCTGGCATCGACCCCAGAGATCAGTCACCTCTAGTAGAAGCACCTCAGACCCTATGAGAGAGGTCGTCGGACATCAAAAGGCAGTGCTCTCAACCACACCGGGCTGTGTCACAGGCAGTGCAGGAAGAATAGCCCCGCCCACCCCAGCAAAATCTTTCTGCTCCATCACAGCTCCGCGCAGAGGCAACATCAACACGAACGGTGCAGGACGGGCAAGGACCCTCGACTGCCGCCACAGCCACTGCCGCTGGACAAGCGTGGACAAGATCTCCCAGCTCCAGAGGACATATTTACATCTCAAGGCATCTCTTCCTGCATTGGATGCATCTCAAAATCCCATAAGGTATGAAAAGCCCGCAACCTTAGTCTCACTTTCCGGGTGTGAAAACCGAAGCAAGTGGCAGTACATCACGTTCGCTCTTGGAGGACTATTCCTGACAGTGACAATGGTGGTCAGAGACGTCAAATTACCAGACCTCTTTCCCAGAATCTCTTTACAGCACAGCAGAAACAGTAATCGTTCATATTTATTGAGCGCTCCCTAGGGGCTTCACGTTTATTGAAGTAGATGCGATTGTCCTTGTTGTCAAGGTAAAGGAACTGGGGCTCGGGAAGATTAAGTAAGCTGCCTACAACCACATGGTTAGTAAATGGTTGAGTCAGCATACGAACTCAAGCGGTCTGACTCCAAAGTCACGCCCCGGACTAGAAAGCCACACGTCTGTTCGTCCATTTTTTAAGAAAAAAAAAAAAAATCCATTAGAGTCAATTGGCCAGACTCTTAGACTTTGCTCCGTTCTAATCTGACCCCCACGTGTCACACTTGTGAGTCTGAGAGTAAACATCCCACGCTCACCATGCGCGGAAGTGGCTCTTCACAAATATTTTTGGCTCAGAGTGAAAAGGTGCAAGAACTCAAAGGAGAGGGTGCCCCAGTTCATGCCCTAGGCCCAGATGGCTAACAGACCTGGGGTAACCACTCAGCTCGGAAACGCTCACAAAACTCCCAGCCGTGGCTCACCTCGGCCTGAGTGTGCCAGGCCAACAAAAGTCGTAGCCTGGGAAACGTCCAGGATCTAACCAGTTCATGCTGAAACCAAAGTCGACTTCCTTCTGCAGCGTGTATCTCTGCCATGTTGGTCGGCCCAGCCCTGCAGACACCCACATGTGGCAGGAAACCCAACAGCCTAGGCTAGCAACGTCGCTGTCAAAGTGGTGTTCAGAGGCTGGCGAGGCAAGGCAGGTCAGACAGGCTCTTATGAATAACAGAGGATCAAAGGTTTGATAGGACTTGGGATCATTCAGATGACACCCGCGGACATAGGAACGGTGTCATGCTCACATAGGCAACCTGGGGCAAGCTGATGAGGGCAAGGAAGTTGGTAATTAGCAGCCTCGCCATCTCTCAGTGCCCATTCTTCTCTTGAAAAGGTTGCTTCAGACACGCACTGCCCTCAACTCTACCATTTGTCCCCAGAACTGGGGCCTCTCCAGGGTCTTCCACACAACTCTGTCCTGCAGGGACAGAGAATGTCCCTCGATGTGTGTGTGTGTAACTGGTAGTGACCACCGATCTAAAAATGCACTATTTAGGGGCGCCTGGGTGGCGCAGTCGGTTGAGCGTCCGACTTCAGCTCAGGTCACGATCTCGCGGTCCGTGAGTTCGAGCCCCGCGTCGGGCTCTGGGCTGACGGCTCGGAGCCTGGAGCCTGTTTCCGATTCTGTGTCTCCCTCTCTCTCTGCCCCTCCCCCGTTCATGCTCTGTCTCTCTCTGTCCCCAAAAAATAAATAAACGTTAAAAAAAAAAAATTAAAAATGCACTATTTAAAAAACGACTTCAGTGAATTTTGATTCCTACATTTGAAAAACAGCACATCTGTTATTCAAAATATTTAAATAGATGATATAGTCAGGCCACAGACACGTGTGTATATTTACAGACTCCTTGCAATGACTCTGAGGCTCCCCACAAGCTACTCCTGCCCGGGGGCTGGGGACTGTAAACCTAAGCGATCTATTGCAACCTGTATTTGGTTCTCATTTCCTCCTCCTCCTCCTCCTCCTCCCCCCTCCCCCGCCTCTGATTCTCAGGGAAGAAGATGCCGAGACAGAACGAGGAGTACATAAGGTTTTGGGGGGAGTAACACCTGGGAGGAAATGTGAGGAAGCAAGAATGGTCATGAGGGAGGTACCCGATCAGGATACGGAGCAAGAGCACCTGTTGGATCCGAGTCCTCATCAGGAGGAAATGGCCAGGTCTTTGTTCCATGGCCTTGCTCACTTACTGGCTAGTGCCACTCAGAACCGTGTGTGACTTCGGCTCAACAGTTGCTCACAGAGGAGGCTGTGAGCTAGCTACCCTCTCCATCGCTGGGCAGGGAGTCCCATCTTACAGGGGTAGCTGGGTAGCGTATCTGTATCTGCCACACCCCACCTTCCCCCTGACTCTGTGAGGCGATTTTACCCTTCGTGGTTCTTCATGAAGACAACAGAACTCTATAAATGACAGTGTGTGAATTGCCCTTGGGAAATAGGCCATCTCTCAACCAGCAAAATTAGAAAGAAAGTTATAACCATACGTCAGTATAGTTGAATCAGCTAAAAGGTGAGGTGCCCCTAGGATATGGGACTGCGTTTCATTTAAACAGAATCTCCTTCTGCAGAGGGAGCGCCTTGCGAATCTGAAATAAGATCAGAGAAGTGCTTGCTGCCGCAGTCTGGCCATCCTCTGCCGATGAACGTGAACCCTCGTGAATAGGTGAGTCCTGCCTGTTTACTGTGGGGAAGTCCCTTTGCTAAGAAAGATGAAGCAGTCCCAGGATGGTAGGAAGCAGCCGAGGGAAGGAGCCTTAGGAAGAAGGAGTCTATTCTCAGGTCAGTCCCTTCACTTAGCCTGGGCTAGGAGGCTGTATTGAGCATGTGGCATCAAGAAAAAGACTGAAAGCGATCCAGCTAGTGGAAACTATCTGTGACATCAAACCTGAGAATGGGGGCCATGTCCTGTTAGTTCAGTTTCAAACATGGGAACAGTTAACCTCCAAAGATTCATCTTCCAGAAGCTACCATGATGGTTTCCAAGGGAGAGCCTACATAGACCAAGGAGAGCGGAGGGGAGATGGGACACAAGGAAAGCCGGGCCATCCCCTAGCCTTGCCTCCAGCTTCCTTCAGAAGAGTGGTCCCATCCTTATCTGTTGTATTTCTTAGGATTGTGTGTGAGGTTACATTTAAGAAAAGGTTCTTTCACGAAGATAAATGCGTCCGATAACTACAGTTTCCTCAGTCTCACCTGAAATCTACTGAAATAGAATCTCCCAGGAGTGTGTTCTTCCACAATGCTGCTCAATGCGCCCCCTGATAGGATGGGTAGCTGGACGATAGATGACATAGATAGATGGTAGGTAGGTAGATAGGTAGATAGTGTATTTACCAACATACTAATATGTAATGCATATTGTAACATACCCACAAAAGTAGAAAATTTTAAATAAATGTAATAGAGGCTCTAGTATTTTCTCTTTGCACCCAAGGGATCATCTTGATTTCCCCTGAGGTAGGCACACCTTGCGCTGGAGCTTTCTCACAGTCTTCTCTACGATAGCAAGAACGTGTGGGAAATGAGGGGATGACGCAACCCTGCTTACAGGTGTAAATCCATCCCACTGTGTTTAATGGCCCCCGAGCCACTGAGATAGCGGGCGGCAGGCTCCGTCCTAGCCCATTCCTTCCTCTGTACCAGGGCTAGGGCTTAGGGGTAGAGTGCATAGTGACTGTCGTTGATCACTACAAGGCGGGGGAAGAATAAATGTCTTCTTCCAGACCAGATGGATCCTTTCTCCCTCTCCCCTTTGAGCACAGATGAAATCCAACTGAAGCAAAGTTGATATTTCAGAACTGAGCTCCAATGTTTAGAACAATGAGTGGAGCTGCTGATGCTTTAGTTGCTGGAATGTTCTCTAGCTCAACTCTGAAAGTCAATCGTCAGCATGTGGGCCTGGTGTCTGGGCAACAATCAGAGAAGGACCAGTGTGAGGGGCATTGTCCCCGGGCAAGGTGGGTGGAGAGGAGACTGCAAGGCCTGAGCGGGCAAAGGCAAGGCTCGCCAACACCCCGGGGACTTAGGACGTATGAGAAAGGCACCACATGTGTTTGGGTCACTTCTGTGACTCAGCTGCTATTTCAGCCACTGATAAATAAAGGACTGTTTCCAGGTATGCTATGTTTGGTTAAACCCTAAACTTGGACATTAAGTATAGCCCTAAGGTTCCCAAGACTACATTGCTCTAAACCACAATTATTTCACACATGCTGGAGTGAAAAGAAAATTAAAATTAGAAGCATAAAGAAAATGAAATAAATGTCTGTGGGTTTCCCACACAACCTGCAAATCTCCCTTCTGTAACAGTACAACACAGCAGTTCTGCTTCTGTTCTGACAGCTCTTTCCACCTCGGGGACCCATTTTCGGTACTATTTCCCCAATGTGTTCCCCCCCCCCCGGGGTGTGGTCGTGCACAGTCTCTCTCCCCACCCCCCACGCCTTTCCTTCCAAATTCCCAGGTGCCAATCTGCTTTTCCAACTCCACCTCCAGATACATGTACGGGCTTTGCCCCAAAGCCTCCCTAGTGAGCAGTATCACTTTCTGGGGATAGTAAGCACTGAGTCATTGCCTCCTTCTTACCACAGTTTCCAAAACACAGTCTTATTTCCCCCTTGTCTCTACCCAGATCTCCGAAAGTCTGGGCCACCATGTACGTAAACAGACTCCTAATGGGGGATCCCCGGCCCATCTTCCTAACACCCTCTCACTCTCTATCCCTCCTCGATGTCTGTCCTCCCAAAAGTCGGAAGAAAGCAGAGCTTAAGGGACTAGGACCCTTCAGGATCCATCCTTCTCTATAACTCAGACACCTGGTCAACAGAGGAAAACACGCTTCTGCTATGAAAACAAGACTCGGAGATTTGTAGAGAATGGCCCCGTGAAGACAAGATGGTACCACGGACCGTTCCCTCTCAGCGGCACCACCTGGGCAGGAACGGTACAACCTAAAGATGAGCCCAGATTTTCTCTGAAGTGGGTAGCTAAACGAAATGTATTCTTTTGTTGTTGTTGTTGTTGTTCTCCCGGCCCCAGTGAGAGGCAGCAAGGGATTTAAATGCGAGTAGTTGAAGATGAAAGTTCTCAAATTTTTATGTTAAATACAAGCGTACTTATCCCTTGATCATATCCATACAAGGCAGCACCTTTAAGACACTGATCTGAGGGGGATGCATGTTCAAAATGAGAACACTGCTAGGCAGCAAAATCAATCAGATTGCCCTCTTAGATACACCCGAGGTGAAGCAGCTTGAACTGGGTGTTCCTACCTCTTTCGATCCTCCCCCTGCTGGAAAAATCGGTCTCCTGGTGACTCAGAATTAGTTCAAGATACTTCCCCACACCCTTACTCTCTGTCAAGATCAAGCCTGTTCCCCGCTGATTTCCAACACTGACCCCACACGCCCTCAGGTGATCCCTCTACCAAGGCGCGCACAGCTTTCCATTCGGGAGGCAAAGGACAGCGTGTATAGCAGCCTGTGCCTTTAAAGCTCCTCAAAGCCCTGCCCCAGCCTTCCCGGAGGAATTTATTCAGGAATTCTTTAGTCCGCCATACCTTCATTTTCCAGAAGAGGAAATGCCTTCTTGTCTTCCAGAACTGCTGCTTGTCTGGCTTAGATTTTAGAGACAGCGTGGTCTAGAACACTTGCAAATGTGTGCTCATTGCAAGACTACTGAAATAGAACAAACCAAGCCAACAACAACAACAGAGGAGGATGGGTAAAGCATCCCCATGAATAAAATGGGGTGTTGCCCCTGAAATGATGCAGTGGGGGTGGGGCCCCTGCAAGGAGTCTGCTCACCTGGTCCCCAGGCCTCAAAAAAGAACTTGCATTCCACAGGGCTGCCCGATGGCACACTGCGGATCATCTAATGTTCCTTCTGCAACACGTTCAATCATATTTGGGAATTAGCATCTAACTCGGGAGCTACCTGTCTCAGGGTGGATCCATGAACATGACATAAACCCAGTGCTCGGCAGCCACAGTGACTCAAGTAACCAGAGGTCAATCGATCCCTCTTCTGTCTTCATCTACCTCCCGAACAGAGCTCTCAGCCAGGACTGTCTGCGGCTGCCTCTGATCCCTTTTCCGGTGCCCTTCTTCCAGAACATGTGAAGGAAGCAAGAGGTTAAGGAACCAGGACTTCCAGGATCCAGCTCTCTTCTGTATGTCAGTGATCAGACAGAGTATTTTCGCTGCCAAGGAAAACTCTGAACCTCTTAGGTAAATGGGATTATAAAATTGAGAGTAGTCGGTGCAGTCATTTCCAACTTAAGTTCTCTCCCTGGGCCGGAAGCTCAAAGAGGAGTTAATTTTTCTCTGAAGAAAGATTTCGCTCATTCATTCATTCATGCATGCATGCATTCAATTAATTTTATCTTTGTGGTCATCAGATCTGAGGATCAACAGCCATCAATAACCACAACTCCTCTCATCTCCTTGGAGACCACAGACCATACAGGTACCTCTCTGTTTTGTTTTCTAAAGGCCACGACTTAACTGTGCCATGGAGAATTGAGGGTTAAGTCACCTCTTCTGTGTTGTGTGATCCTGAGTCCTTGAGCATAAGAAAGAGAAATCAAGTCTGGATTAACTGAAACAGGAATGATATTTGTTGGCAGGGTTTAGTGGCGTTCACAGAATAGACAGGAAGGCGGGAGAGGGAGACTTGGGAAAAAGCAGAAACTAGAGCAGGTCTGAGGATCCAGGGAACAGTAAGCACCATCGAGATCATGTCTTAGGAAGAACTCGTTCAAGACATGTTGTGGCTACTACCGGTGGTCTAGCTGACCTCCTTCTGCTGTTACCACCATTTCTGCTGATTAAAGTCTTTCTTTGTGTCCCTCCATCCTGCGCCATGATCAAGAGACTCCGTGTCCTGCAAAGGAGCATCTGATTGGATAAGCGGAGGTTACAGCCCACGCTGCCAGAACTCAGAAGTTCCCTCTTCAGGCTTCTATAGGAGGAGGTAGGGCACCAGGTTCTACCAATGCAAAACACGTCGGGGTGGGGAAGTTCCCCCAAAGGGGAGCAGGAAGGTGGAGAGCCAACAAAAATAATAAGCATCCACCACGTATTTCAAGCTCCTCCAAAAAAGCCAAATCTATAGTTATTCTTTGCAGAGCTATCTCTCCGGTCAGATCTTTTAAGAGTCTTATCTTACGCATAAGAAAAACTCTTTGAGACGCCTGCATGGATCAGTCGGTTAAGCGGCTGACTTTGTCTCAGGTGGTGATTTCGTGATTCTGAGTTCAAGCCCTTCCATGGGTCCCATGCTGACAGCTCAGAGCCTGGAGCGTGCTTTAGATTCTGTGTCTCCCTCTCTCTCTCTGCCCCTGCCCCACACTCTCTCAAAAATAAACACTAGAAAAAGAAAAAAAGAAAAACTCTTAGCTGAAAGGACCCACTATCTGGCCTCTTCTGCCAAATTCTGGCACAGTAAACACATTGTTTATGTTCGTATCTATTATTCCTTTGGACACTTCCAACACAAATTTGATGTGGCTCACAAAATTTAATAAGTTGTAAAACAGGTCGATGAAAAATGAAAATGACCCAGTTGGGACCCTGTGTGGTGGCCACCGCTCTCAGTGTTTCCAGGGAAGCGGGAGGCTAACCAAGGAAGATGGGGTCATTCTGGACTCTTGCATTCTCTTAAGGCCTGATGGGTTGGTTGGGTCCACAGGTATGGAGCATGGCTCAGATGTGTTCATGACAAGCGAGAACTAGGCTAGTGAAGGGGGCTAGAGTCATGGCAAGGACTGGCCAGTGACTAAAGCAGGACCATGGACACTGGGCGGCAAGAGGAACCACAGCGGGCCTCCCGGTGGTTAATAAGTCATGGCCAAAACCAACAGGGTAGGGATGCAAGGGCTAAGGTGAGGTCAGAGGATAAGACTGGGGTTTCACCCAGAGATGGGCCTCTTCTGGCCAGGGGCTCGCCAAGTGCTGCCTCTTAGAAGGGAAGCCGGAAGTGGTTTTTCCAAGAGGTAGCCAAACCCAGAGCATTCTGAGTGGCAGTTCCGAATTCTTCATCTACTTATGACTCTTTAATCAGAAAAAAAAAAAAAATTCAAATGTTATGCTTTGAAATGAACCTTTCAGACAGCAGGATGTGGTAGAAGGAGGCCTGACTTTTACTTGAATCCAGCTTTTCCATTAACCAGATGTGTGACGTTAGGGAAGTCAAGTTTCTCAGGGTCTCAAAGCCCCTCTATTAAATGAGAAGATTGGGCTAAGTATTGCCTAAAGAGTCTTCTAACTCTGGATATGTCTGCACACACACACAAACACGTGCACACACACGCGCACGCACACACACACACCGAAGCACACACGCACCAGGGAGGATTCTGCAAGTGTGTTCCAAGAAGGAAGTCTCAAAATACTGTCCCTGCTGCGCAGCTCCTCTACCCTGAAGCTGGCTCTGGAAGGGGCGAACTTCCTCACCAACCACAGCTGTTGAAATAGCTCCCAGGGAGTTGTACTTAATTCCTGTTTCCTCACATCCTGGATGTGAGGTCCAACAGAACTGATAATGGGGTACTTCCCCCCAGTGACTAACCACACACTGAAAGGGGGAAAACCATGCTACCCAAGGACCTAGCCAGTAGTGGGTAACTGGGGCCAGAAATAATAAGCCTGACCTGGGACGCACCAGTTCATAGCTCGGGAATGCACAGTGGTAGCCCAGCTAGGATTTCCTTTTTTCCAAGACAAACCATGTCAGCTTTGATTAATCTCCTGGTGGCGGCTAAATCCCCCTCCTTTACTCACATCCTTATTCCCAAGAGCGCACTGTGCCCCATCATCGGGGTTTTGGGGGAAGTCTTGGAAATTATTCTAAGTGACGTGCATTTACCCGCCTCTCCACTGAGCCACTGGCTGTGTCTTTATGTGCCAGTCCCCGGGCCAGGCATCAGGATCACCGCAGTAAACGGGACCGACATGGCCTCGGCCTTTATGGGACTTGTAGTCCAGGGGAGATTGAAAGCAAACAAATAACGAGGGACATAAAACAAGAAGTGGAGGGCGGGGCAGCGGTGGACAATAATGGCAGGGGGCCACCAGGAAGATGTTTGCCTAGAGCAACTAGACATCTCTCCGTGAAGGTAGCGTTAGAAGGACGACAAGGCTCCAGTTTCATGTAACACAGGATAGAGTAGGAGCAGCATGCAGAGGGTGTGTGTGTGTGTGTGTGTGTGTGTGTGTGTGTGTGTGTGTGTATGAGGCGCATCGAGAAGTGGAGAAAACAGTAGCCAAACTGGCAGAGGGGGGAAGAGCGCGTTGGTAGAAATCTCCACCGGTGGAAGGAGCGGCGAGAGGTCCTTGCGGGTGCGGCACAGGGGAGGTGATAGGAGATGAGACCGGTGAGCTGGGCAGAGGCTAGATCGCACAAAGCCTTTTCAAAAATCTGATATTTTTTTCTTCAACTTTTTGCAAATTCAATAGGCAACGACTAAGGCATTTTAGACCGGAATAATGATGATCTTGTTTCAATTTTCTGTTTGCTTTGCGGACCAACAAAACAAGAATATAGATAAAATTTGAAGCAAGAAGTCCAGGTAGGAGATCACTGTCGTTCAGTGAGGAGATGGTGAGTACTCGGACCAAGTTGACCTCGGTCCTCCAGGGGACACTGGGCAGTCATGTCTGGAGACATTTTTTGATAGTCACGACTGGGGCCTGCATCTGGCATCTGGTGGGTAGAGGGCCAGGGATGCTGCTAAACATCCTAAAAATGCCCATGATAGCCCCCCACATGAAGAATGATCCAGGCCCAAATGTCAAAAATACCAACATAGACAAACCTTGGATTAGGTGATGGCCGGAGAAGTGAAAAGAAGGAATTGGATTCAAGATGCATTTTTTTAAGTCGAAATGACAAAGAATTCTAGAGATTAAAAGTGGAGTGTGGGAGGGGGCGCCTGGGTGGCTCAGTCGGTTGAGCAACCGACTTCGGCTCAGGTCACGATCTCACGGTTTGTGAGTTCTAGCACCGTGTTGGGCTTTATGCTGACAGCTCAGAGCCTGGAGCCTGCTTCAGATTCTGTCTCCCTCTCTCTGCCCCTCCCCCGCTCATGCTCTGTCTCTGTCTCAGAAATAAACATTAAAAAAATAATAATAAAATAATAAAAGTGGAGTATGGGAAAAAGAAATAATCCAAAGATGGCTTTCAGACTTCTGTCCTGAGCAACATTTCAGGAAAACATGCTGGATGAATAGGTATTAAAATTTATGTCCAGGGGATAAAATCAATTGCATGGTTTAAAATTCCAGAAACACTATTTACCAATTGTGGGGTGCAAAACGCACAAGCAATCTGCCTGCGTCCCCCTATCTATAAAGTGAGGATTACACTGTACCTTCTTCAAAGGTATGGGATGAAGATCCATGATTCCATCATGTGAAGGGTTTCAAACAGGCCTGGCATGCGGTCAACAGTTGAGTTTTATTTACCTTTGTTGTTGTTACTATTGTTAATAATATTATTATCACGGTCTGGGTCTTATGAGAGCTCTTCAGATGGGACATAGGAATTCGTGAGCCATCAACATAGAGATGGCCACACCAACATAGACAGTATGTAAAGACTTGAGATGAGCATATACATAGGAAGGGTCCAGGACTGATCTTGGATACTCTATTGTTGGGACACTGGGGAGATGAGATGAAACCAGTGAGGAGACTAAGCAGGGTCAGATGGTGAGGTAAGAGGAAAGTCAACAGAAGAAAGCATTTCAAGGAGTGGAGGTTCAACTGGGTTAGGAAGAGGATAGAAAAAACATCTCTTGAATCTCAAGGTCATAGGTAACTATGGGGGAAGGTGGGCGAGAAGACATGACCACGATTGACCCATGAGCTGGACCCGAGCCATCCTCGCCCCCTACCCTGTCTTCGGAAAGTGGGTTCTGCTTACCTCTCCTGCTCCCAGAGCTGCTCCAGGGACATGGCCGTAAGAGAGTGATGTGGTGTTAAGAATGACGTGTGTGTGCAGTATTCATGATTGAAACCCAATTAAGGCCTCTTTATAAACTTTTCAGATTTGGCAGCGGGGATCCATTCATCTTGCTGCTGCCCAAGTAAGTCCCCTTCGCTAATTAAATTGCCACTTCCTCGCCTGGAGTGGCGGCCTCTTTCTTTGGTCTCTCCCTGCCCTCTGCGTAAGGGGGCGTGCTTCAGATTACGCCTGGGAAGCTCCCAGGAGGGTTACTAACTGGCAGTAACTTTGACAGAAATGACTTCTTCACTTAAGAAGTGGGAACGGAAGCCAGTCTGGACCGAGCTGAAGCTTAAGTGGGAGAAGATATGCAATAGAGTATGTGGGGTATGTGGGAAATTTACGGGAATTTTGGCTAAGGAGAGCAGAATTGGTGGGGGGCGCCGTTAAGTTAGTGAAGGACTCTCAAGCTGTTTTTTTTAAGATAAATACTATTACGTTATAGTTATGTATCGATGGGAATAGCATGGTAGAAGGGGACACATTGGGGAGAGAGGAGGGAAGGTGATAAGTCAAGTATCAAAGTCCTTGCAAGGATGCGAGAAGGCAGGTCTTTGGTTAGATGGGAGACACTTTGTGTTTGGAAACAGGAGGTGGGCAGGAGACGGGCACCGTGAAGACAGGTTTGTAGTTTTTTGCTTAGGGAAATGAAGGTAGTGCCTGTCTGGTCACTTTTACTTTCTTAGTGAAGTATGGGGGGCAGGCAGGGCCCCAGAGGAAAGTAGAGGAAGAGAGCGTATTTTGAGTACAAAAGAGTCACCTCGGAAACCACGAAGGCTACTCATGTAGAGAAGGGTGGTAGAATTGTTAGACATGTTTTGAGATTTAGGATCATGAATTTTTAGTGACACCAGCGAACTTCATTCCTTGATTTTCTCCTGCAATGTCCAGTGGTTCAGATAGAAGCACAGAGAAGGGAGGAGGTAGAACATTGCATTCGTTGAGGAGTTGGAGTCTTGCCAGACGCATGGGACACAGGGTGAGGCAAGGGAGTTGGGGGCATTTGCAAGAGAGTGATTATAATGGTGGTCCATGGAATCTAAGCTGAGATGAGAGGGGATGAGAGAGAGAGGGAGAGGGAGAAAGAGAGAGACGGTTGCTTAGCAAGAAAGCATACTTAGCAAAGGGGCAGGAGAGAATGGGGAGGACACCTCTTCCCCACCGGGAGGGAGGTACACGGGGTGTGAGCGAACAAACTGTCTCCGGTTGACAGACCTAGAAGCAAGCGGTAGACTTGTGAGCTGGCAGCTCTTAGTAGGGCAACGACGTGGAGTTCAGAGAAGAGGCCCAACCAGCTCCAACCCCTATTTGCTTTGTACACAGCAAAGTCTATTACACAATACAAAATCCGGGCCTGCCTGCTTAAAGCCTGTTCACTCCCATCCCCCCTTTCCCCACTTCCGGTTCAGGGAGAAGATTTTCAAAAGTTTGCAGATGAAAAATAACCAGAGTCAGCTAATTAAGCAGCATGAGTGGTTCAAACAAAGGCCCACACTTAGCACCAATGTGGGGTAGGGAGAGGCTGTTTTTATGAACTCTACATTGTTTTGAGAGCCGTCCCCCCGCTCCCCACACCCAGCATTCAGTTCCAAACAAACCTTTAAGCTTTGTTTTAAATAGTCTAGATTCAAAATACCTTATAGGTATTGTCAGAGAGAGAGAGAGAGAGAGAGAGAGAGAGAGAGAGAGAGAGAGAAGTCTAATGAACTCCGTGCTTGCTATGGCCTTTTAATTTGATCCTCACCCTTACATATGGCAGATACCCCAGAGCTATTCATGGTACTCATCCAAGATCAGGGATAGCAATGCAATTATAATTAACATTTATTTAGTGCTGACCGTGTCCCAGGCATTGGTCTAGATTGGGTTCCTTTGTTACTGTGTTTGATGTTCACAACACATTTATGGGTTTTCATCCTTGTTACAAATTAGGAAAGAGACACATTGAAGGGGCAAGTGACTTGTCCAAGGTCATCAGTCAAGAGGGGTAGAGTTGAGAAGGTCTGCAGAGCTTGCACTCTTGACCATTTGTCACTGCCATCATACTCTGCAAATACATAGCATGTACCCTTCCTTTGTTGTCCAGAGTGGACACCACTGGCCTGTCACAGAACTATCTCCCCACACATGGCCCCTAATCTGCTGCTCTGGGAGCTCTGACTAGCTGACGAGTGTTGACGCTAGAGGAAATCTCTCTGCCCTTCCAGGCCTAGACCCTCCTCCCTTGGTCATTCCCATTCTTCCTCAACCCCTGTCTCTTCCCTGCTCTCGACGTGGGTTCTACTTTGACTCTGACCTTCCATACTCAGCCTATGGTCTTGGTCTCTCACAAGTCTGACTCCAGCTCAGACTGCGACTTGTCCCCAGGCCCCTCTCTGCCCTTCTTTCAGTTCTTCCTCACCCTCACCCCATCCTGAACTGTCTCCAGGAGTGATTTGGTCGGTGTCGACAAGGCATCTGTGGAGAGGGGCAATAGGCAGGACGGAACGGGAAAGGTCTTAGTGAAGACCCATTCTCGGAGCCCTGAGCTTCAAGCCCTCTGTGCCCATTTCTGTAAGAACGGTATAGATACAGAGATTTAGAACGTCAGTCTTGTTCTGGACTTCCTGCAGCTGGAAACCTACCACCGAGTTATCCTGCCCATATCTTTTTAAACAACCCCCAAACACTCCCTCAAGTTTAGTCAACTGATTGGTAAACCCAAGAAAATCTTTTCATTTTGGAGGAAAAGCTTGGATATTTGTTGGGCACCAAAAGTGCCAACTGGGGAGCTGAAAAGTAGTGAGTTCTAGCCAGCGGTGCAATGTTGGAAAACCGTTTCGCCTCTCTGAGCTGTGGCCGGTCCGTAAAGCGGGCCAATCGAGCGGAGGGCCTCTCGGGTCCCTTCCAGTCTCAGCACTTTGTGTCAACGCCTGAGTTTCAGAGGCTTCTTGTTATCTCCCCCGTTGCTCCCAACAGTCACCAGGAGGTGCTTCTCATATACTGACGGGACTTCTGTCAGTTTCCACAGGTCAGATGACATCTGATGTCTCCTGCTGTGGCTCTGCCCATTATTGTGTCCACGGATATTACCTATGCCGTCCCCCGAGTTGCCCCCTCTGTGGGGTTTAAAGTATATCTACCTATCACCACCATCATGGCCCCGGGGTATTCATGTCCTCTTGGTGCCAAAGCCCTTTGAGGACTTGTACACTCTAGTGTCGAAACCTGAAGCAGGACTGCCAAACTCCACGGCGGACCCCTGAACTGCGGGTGCACTTGCTAAGAGGTATTGTCGTGACGGTGAAAACTTTAGGGGCCCCACTCAAATTCTTGACTGCATGTCAATCTCTCCTCTATTTACACAAAGAACAACACGAATTGGCAGAACACCCAAGACTCGCAAAATACAGGATTGACCTAATCTGTCCCTGGAAACCATTGAGACAAACCCATTATCTGAGGAGCCAGGACAAGGTATAATTAGAAGCCCAGTGAGTCACAGCTCATGGGAGTTAGCTCGGAGGCTCATAAATGACACACTAGTTTGACGTCTGCTTGGGCTCATCCTGGGCATCAGAATTTAGCCTCGTCCAGGGACTGAGAGGATTTATTAAAGCAAGATTCATGGAGTGCAAGAATGTTCACGCTGGGCCCGGTCTCCCCAGGAAGAAGGAGCATCAGATACAGGAAATACAGAAAAAGCGATAACAATTTTTTTTTTTTTTTGCTAGCAAAAAATTCCCTTCACCGCATACGTTTTCTCTTTAATTTTTCTTAAGGACGTCCAGTTGCTAATTTAAGCCCGTCACATACTTTCCCAGCAGTGAATTGAATTTATGAGTTTCCTGTACATCCTTCCAGGCCCAGCGGATTCAGAAAGAGAACGGGTTTTAAACTCCCAGTCCCATGACCTGCTTACTGACCGTGTGACTGCGAACAAGCTCGTCAAACCTTCTAAACCTCGGTCCCCTAATTTACAACGTGGGGGTTGTAGGGCGATTGAAAAGACGATAATGGCTGCAAAGCACCTGGCTCAGGATCCCACCCATGGGGGTTGCAGTCAGCGTGAGCTTCCTTCCTCGTGGAAACCATCCGAGGCTACCAGCCCCGGGCCTTCCGTCAGACACGGAACACGCCCATGCAAAGTGCTAATGCCAGTTCAGCTCAGCAGACACCTTGTCTCAGGAAAGCCATTAGAAACCCCCAAAGTACTATATTTTTCTCCTGGGAAGTAGCTCACTTCCCACAACTTCCCACCACTTTCTATTAAGTGAGCCCAACAAATGAGTCACTCTGCTTACAGATGAAAATTTGGGAGCCACACCCCAAACAGAGGCAGCTTGACTTTTCCCAAGAAGCCGGCAGGACCACCAGAAAGAGGGCCTCGGGGACCCACGGTCAGAAAACCCCAAACTCCCAAGCTACCTCCGAAGTCATAGGCAAATCCAACACCTTAGTTTTGTTTTTGGGTTTTTTTTGTCTGTTTTTTTCTTAAGCGAATTTTGGTGACAGCTGAGAGTCACTGAACAACGTTTAAGCTCTTGCTGAATCCGCTGTTTGAGGCCAGGCGGCATGGATACAGAGGGGTACAGGAAGACGGGCCAATCATTTTCTTTCCTAGGTAAATAGGCAACACTAAATTAAATTGAAAATAACGTCCTAGGAGGGCCTGGGTGGCTCAGTTGGTGAAGCATCTGACTCTTGATTGCAGCTCAGGTCCTGATCTGACGGTTCTTGAGTTTGAGCCCACATCAGGCTCTGTGCTGACAGTGCGGAGCCTGCTCGGGATTCTCTCTCTTCCCCTCTCTCTGCCCCTCCCCCACTCGCGTTTTTTTTCTCTCTCTCTCTCTGTCTCTATCTCTCAAAAATCAACAAATAAACATTAAAATAAAATAACGCCTTACTTGTTGTATCATTTAGAAGGTGATTATTTACTTTTCAAAAACATCTACCGTAGCGCTTAAAGGATGACCGATTTTCATAAAAATTTTCAAGAGTCGATCCATTATATAAAAATACAATTATTTATATAAAAATGCAAAAACAGACCAAGGAAGCCTGCCATGTGCCAAGGTCATAGGTGAAGAAAAAAGTTGCACTTAAGATATAAACACTCCAAGTCCGCAGCGAACACAGGTGGGGTATTTGAATTTTTACCACTTGTGTTGTCTGAAAGTCTTATCTGAGGAATTAACATAAAACTGCTGTAGAACCATTGAAAGCCCTGGAAGCAGAAACTACAACAAAACATTTCTTTACAGGCTCTTCCCCAGTCCAGAGGACATGGGCCTTCTGCTGAAGATAAGCTCACAACATCAAAGGAGAGAAAATGATAAACTATGTGAGTAAGTAAATGCCATTAGAGAGAATCATCAGGTACCATAAACAAAGTTTAGCACCCGAGGTGCTGAACTTGATAGAACAATCTAGAAGAGACAACAAAATCATCATGTTTCAAGTAACTAAGGAGTTTTAAGAATGGAGGAAGGAGGGGCGCCTTGGTGGCTCAGTTGGTTAAATGTCTGACTCTTGATATCCGCTCAGGTCAGGATCTTGCAGTCATGGGACCACACTCGATGCTGAGCGCGGAGCCTGTTTAACATTCTCCCTCTCCCTCTCTTTGTGCCCCTCCCCTGCTTACTCTCTCTCCCTCTCTTTTCTCTCTCTCTCCCTCTCCAAAATAAATAAATTTTTTAAAAAGGAGGAAATAAGATCTATAGTGAGAGCAGAGGAAAGTACAGCAAAAGAAAAGACAGATTTGCAAAAGAATCGAAAGAAAATGCAGCCAATAAAATAACGAATTAACAGGATAGTAGAGCTGCTGAGAAAATTGGTGAACTGGAAGACAGAACTGAGGAAGCTCTCTAGACTGTATCACAGAAAGCAGATGGCAAATACAAATGGCCGGATAGAAAATATGAAAGCTAGATTGAGAAAATCCAGCAGATATAAAATCAGGCTGCCATGATGCACAATTCTAAAGTCTATCCCACTCATTGGGAACCCAATATAAATGGTGGGTTTTGGATTTTTACGATGTATCAACCCTTATTTGATAAGAACTCCAACAGGAGAGAATAGAGAAGATGAGGCTAAAGTGGTCATTAAAAAAAAAAAAAAAAAAAAGATAATAGATTAGAAACATCCAAAATGGCAGAAAGACGCACGTTTTCAGATCTCAGAAAATGTACCCAAGAGTCCTGGTCAGGATCAGTAAGAATAAATGCTCGCCTAAACAATTTGTGAGGAAACTGTCAAAGACGATGAAAAACAACCAGAAATAAAAGAGACTGCCTGAAAAGTAATGAGCAATTGGGATTACGGCTGTGTGGCTCTGAGAAAACCCGTCAAACTTTCTAAACCTTAGTTCCCTTATGTGTAAAGTGTGGTTTCTACGATGATGAGAAGACAGTAGCAGTGTATGCAAAACACCTGGCTTGGGATCCCTGGCTTTTTATCAGCGACATGGCATTCCAGGAAAAAGGAAATCAAATCTTTAAAATGCCAAGGTGGCAGTCCCATCATTTAAAAATTCTAAACCCGGGAACATTTTCGTCCCACCATAAAGTATGGCTCATTCACACAGTGGAAGCACACAATGGAGAGAGCATTTTAATACATTCTTAGGTGAAACAAACAAAACAAGACAACGAAGCAAACAAACAAACAAAAAAAACCCTTAGTGTTAAAAAGGAGGGCAAACATGCAAATATCTTCAGGTTACAGTAACAGCATATAAAACAGTGGAAGTCTACCCCCCAAATGGATACACTTGGCTACCTGTGGGGGAAGGGAGGAACTGAATAGATGGGGTTGCGAGAGCAGAAGTTCTCGCCACTTATGTCCTTGATTATCCCTTTAAAATTTGCGTTTAATGGGCAAATTCCTGAAGCACAAAATCTACCCAGGCTGAGTCATGAAGAAATAGAAAACGCGAACAGAACCATAACTAGAAAACAGGATGAAGTAGTGACCAGAGAAACCTTTCAACAAAGAAAAGCCCAGGGCCAGATGGCTTCACTGTTCGATTCTACCGAACGCCGGAAGAAGCGTCAACACTAATCTTCTTCAAGCTCTTCCAAATAAAATGGAAAAGCAGGAAACATTTCCCAATTAATTCTATGAGGCCAGCATTATTCTGATACAAAAACTAGACAAAACACAAGAAAACTAGAGACCAGTATTGTATATCGGTGTGAACATTTTCAGAGACTACTAGGAAACAGAATCTAACGGCATATTATAGTATTTCACGCTATGGCCGATTAGGATTTACTTCTGAAGTGCAAGGATGGTTCGATATATGAAAAACAATCAGCATACTCCACTACACTAACAGAAGGCAGGGTGAAAAACCCACATGATCTTCACAAATAATACAGAAAAAGCCTCTGACAAAATTTAACACCGTTTCATGGTAATGAAAAAGCTCTCAACAAAGCAGGAATAGAAGGGAATGACCTCAACATAATAAGGGGCATATATGAAGATCCCACAGCTAGTATCATATGCCGTGGCGAAAGACTGAAAGGTTCTTCTCCAAGGTCAGCAATGAGACAGGGATGCTCACTTTTGCCACTACGAGTCAACACAATAGGAGAAGGCCTAGCCAGAGCCATTAGACAAGAAAAAGAAATAAAAGGCATCCAGATTGGAAAGGAAGAAGTAAAACCATCTTTATTTGCAGATGATATGACCTTTCACGTAGAAACCCTAAACGTTACACACGCATACCCACACAACTGTTGGAACCTACAAACAAATTCAGCAAAGTTGCAGGATACAAATCAACACACAAAAATCGGTTGCATTTCTATACACCGACAACGAACAATTTCAAAGGAAATTAGGAAAATAATTCCACTCACAATAGTATCAAAAAGAGTAAAATACTTAGTAATAAACTTAACCTGGGAGGCAAAAGACTTCTACACCAAAAACGATAAAATGTTGCTGAAAGAAATTAGACAAGACACTAATAAGTGGAAAGACATCCATTGTTTATGGATTAGAAGACAGAATGTTGTTGGGGCGCCCAAGTGGCTCAGTCAGCTGAGCGTCCAACTTCGGATCAGGTCATGATCTCACAGCTTGTGAGTTTGAGCCCCACGTTGGGCTCTGTACTGACAGCTCATAGCCTGGAGCCTGCTTCGGATTCGGTGTCTCCCACTCTCTCCGCCCCTAACCTACTCGCATTCTGTCTCTGTCTCTCTCAAAAATAAATGAACATTAAAAAAAAAAAAAAAGACAGATTGTTGTTAATACCATTCATGGTGATCTATAGATTCGATGTTCCATTGAATCCCTCTGGATATCCCAAGGATGTGTTTTCCAGAAATAGAAAAATCCATAAAATTCATATAAAATCCGAAGGAACCCCAAAGAGTCAAAACCATCTTGAAAAAGAAGGACCACGCTACAAGTCTCACACTTTCTAATTTCAAAACTGATTACAAAGCTATAATAAACAAAACAGTGTAGGGTGGGCATAAAGACAGACAATAGTGGACTAGAACGGGGAGTCCAGAAACACTCACATATAAGGCCAAAAGATTTTTGACAAGAGTGCTCAGACTATTCAACGGGGAAAGGACAGTCTTTTCAATAAAAGACGTTTTGGTGTATATCCTTTAAATATGTTGTAGATATGCATGTGTATGTAAAATATACCAACGAGAATTGTTATCTGTGGGTATAGATGGGGCTGAACAGACAAGGGTGGTCCTTTCTACCCTCTGGACCATTATATACACGAAAGCTGCTTAATCCCCCAAACATTTTATTATGGACATTTTCTTGTCTTTCCTTTTTTAAAGTAGGCTTCGTGCCCAGTGCAGAGCCCAACGCAGGGCTTGAACTCATGACCCTGAGATAAGGACCTGGAATGAGATCAAGAGTCAGATGCTTAACCGACTGAGCCACCCAGGTGCCCCTTATTATGAACGTTTTCAAACAAACAAGAAGTTGAAATAATTTCATAGTGAGCAGTCTATATCCACCACCTACATTCAACCATTAACATTTTCATTATGCTTCTTTTATCACATATATATCTATTCTTCTTTCCATTCATCTATCTGCTTTTTTTTTTGTAAACTTGTAGGGGTCAATACATATCACCCCCAATACTTCATCATGCACATTAACTTCTGTTTTGACATCATTTGTGTACAATGGAATGTGCAAATCTTGCACATCCACTGAGGTTTGACAAATGCATGCAGCTGTGTAATCCAACCCTCCCAAGCTCTAGTACATGACCATCACCTGAGAAAGTTCCCTCCTGCCCTTTCCCAGTCACTTCTGCCCTCGCTCTCCAGAGGCAACACACGTACGGATTTTTTTCCACCATAGGTTAGTTTCACCTGTTGCAGAGTTTCATGCAAGTGGAATCAGGTTTCTACTCCACATAATTAGCATGGCTTATTCAAGAGCTCAGCTAGAGGGGCTTAGGGACAATTTGATTCCTTCTGGTCTCCAGTGATGGTGGAACACCCATTTGATGCGGCTGCCGTCCCTGTGAGCCACTTGATGTAGCAACGGGACTTGCCACGGTCTATGAGATGGATGAACATGCCAGGCCACCATTCACGGGAGTCAGAGGAGAATGGAAATCATAGGTTAGGTGTTTATGAATTATGTGCAAGAAATAGCGACTGCCCAATTCTACTAGCGAATTTCTAGGGAGTAGTCAGAATAGCCTTTTGTCATTAATCATACAGTTTAACTCTACGACTATTTGTTTGACAATTTTGCAATAAACCCTTTAGGCAATAAAAACCCATATATTTTTAACTCAACTAAAAGGGTATGTTTAGTGGAAAATTAAATACTAAACTTCTGTGTCTTATGACACTTGATGATGGCGCACGAAACGTGCTTGGCATTTGCTATCCATGAAGAGTGTCACGGCAAAATGGCCAACCAGTTGGAAACCAGAGGATTCGAATCCGTTGCTGAAGAAGCATCAGCATCTATGTGACCCCAGGTGGAATTCAAAGAAGAATGTGACCACAGCAAGTGGCTACTCCTTATATACCGCACGTGCAACAACATTTGCTGAGATGTGCCAGCTGCTCTGGGGTACGAGACGAGACAGTGAAACTTCATTTATGATTTTCACAGACCGAGTCAAAAATCAAAGCACAACCTCCAGGGTCACAGTGAACTTGGAGGGAAGTGTCAATAAGATGTGCTCTGCATGGAACAAAAGCTGCTGGAATCTGGAAGACTCCTCCCCGAGCGAAGGATTGACTTTGAGGTTCACGCCAAAGGCTGAACGGCCACCCGGAACAGCTGGCCTCATAATTTTTGAGGATTTAAAGCACTGCGATTCCAGTCCACAAGCACTAAGGTAATTTGTGAAAGCAGTACACCCAGAACTGGGGTCAAGCTCAAAACTTAACAAGATCCCTTTTCTACTAGAATGTATTGTTGGCTAATTGCTCTCAGCTGTTAAGCTCGAAGAGCCACGTGGGGAGAAGGCTGGGAGCGGCACAGAGAGCAAGTGATTTAATTATTTCTCACATTTGTCTCATGTCTCTTTCCTTTGGTAGTTAATTCGCAAACATTCCTTTCGCCACCTTCTCTCTTCTTTGAGGTTGTACCAGCAACTATCTGCCCCAACTTATGCAAAACTATCTGAATAATTCATAATGCAGATGAGCTTATCGGCTTGTCTCCATTTCCCTTTGCCCAAGAATGATTAGCAATGAAATATTTCAAACATACAGAGAACTAGGTAAATAAAATCACCCGGCTTTAGCAGTACTCCACCATATATGCCCAGTGTAATATTGCTCTCTAGTCATCACTGCTGTATTTACAAGAATATTTTTCCTTTTGCTGTGACGGGTGGTATGAGCACATCCTTGTGTGTAAGTTCGACATATTTCTCTGAAGTGCTTACCTGGCTGTCGGCCCCGTGGTCTTTGTTGTTCCAGTATGGCCCACTCCGCAGGGCAGGGATGAGACCAGACGGTGTAGTGGTTGTAGCATGGCTTTGGGGCCATGCAGATCTGCTTTCCAATCCCAGAAATCCCAGCTCAGTGGTGGGCAATTGCCTGTACCTAGTTTCCCATTCATATTATGGGAACAATACTACCTTCCTCGTAGAGACGTTGGGAGGTGATGTTAGTAAAGCATTGGAAGGGTACCTAGCACAGGGTAAGTGGCCGTTATCAGCTTGTATATCTTTTGTATGTGCCGAGCAACCCCATAAAGCTTGGGTCCATCTCTAACCGATGCTGTATTTACCGGGAACCAGCCAACCACTATCCAGATAATTAACAACTCTTAATTATGGACTAATCCTTGTCAGCTTTGCACATGAGGCCAGGTTTAGCCAGGAAAATGGTGGTCTTTTTATTTACTTTTTAGCAGCTAAAGGTGAGTTTGCCCCGTGTGTGTGATCTCCAAAACACAATGAAATGTAATAGAGTTTTGTAGCACTTACCTTTATGTAAAGCCGAATTAGCCCATGAGATAAGGGCGCGGTTGGTTATAACCATGAAGCAAGCCCCCTGGTGACCATGGGCATTATTTGATTGTTATTTCGGTGAGCATCTCCTTCTCATCATGTCCTTAGATGTGTGTATTATTTATCATTAAAGCAAATTGCCTTTAAAAGACCACATGGTTTAACATAGTTGTTCTCAACCATGGCTGGGCCGCAAAATCATCTGTGTTTAAAAAAAAAAAATCTATCCATCTGTCCATCCATCCATCCATCCATTCCAAGGCCCCCATCCAAGACATGCTGGGAATCTCTGGGACTGAAATCTTCATCTCCTGGAACACGTGGAAGGGATCAATGTTCCAGCCAGGGGAGGCTCTTAGAGACCCAGGGTTGAGAATCACACTGGGTTAACCTCTTGAAGTGGTACCTATCTGAAGGGCAGTTGAAGATTTTGGAATTAACCAGCAAGTCTTTTTTTTTTCTTCTTTTTCTTAAATAATTTTGCAAAGCAGGATGCTGCTATCCCAAGCCTTCTGTTGCCAATTATGTCTTCCACAGGAATGTAGCATACACATGGTCCATCCAAGCGCCATGTAAATCAAACCACATGTCCACAGCTGGACCAAAAGCATCAGGACTGTCTAAGTGGATTCCACTGGAATGAGCCTATGTGACACCACGTCAAAGTAATTGTGCACAGCGCCCCCCCCCAAAAAAAAAAAGCTACATGAAGGATGGCCAAAACACACACCAAAAAATGGATTTAACTCCATTTTCTAAAAAAATTAAAAGCATAATGCATATACTGTATCTTTTGCAAATAAAAGGACACCAAATGTCCGAAAGCGACACAAGGGTACATTATTTTCCAGACATGAAGCCCAGACGTCTACTCACCAGTACTTCCAATATTCACATTCCCTCCTCCTTTTCTTTATTCCAAATAGCAGTGTGCTCTCCCAGCTAATTGGGCTGAGAAGGATGTCTGAAGATGGAGGCCGTTAAGAAATCACGCTTCCCTTTATTTATGAGTTTCCGTGGCAAGAGCAAAATAAAAGACGATTGTGTTTCAAAGCAACAACACGAAAAGAAGCAACATCGCCCTCAAGAAGGCAAACCTCCGAGGGAAAGCAAAGGTTACGCTGCCCTACGTGCCTTTCCCCAAACCAAGGGACATCATTTGAAATGGTGCTGGCTACATGTAGACACTAACTCCGGAGACCAAGAAGCTACTCCCGGAAGGTACTAGCTTTTGTGTTTGCTTTGGGTTTTCTGCTGTTAACCTTCTCTTGCAATTGACTCCCAGAAATCAGACGGTGAAATCTCTGGGGCTTTCCTGGCCACCTGATTCAAGGTAATCAGGAACCTGAGTAGGGTCAGGATGTTGGCTGCCTTCTTTCAAAACACAGGGACCTCGAAATTGGGCTACTGAGATGTTTAGCCAGCTCTACCCCTTAAGATAAAGTCAGCAGGTAAAATCCCCGAGATAGTTGGCTTGTGTAGTGCTTCAGGCAGGCGAGTCCAAAGCCAGATCCCTCTTCCTCGGAGCAACCAAGGTCATCGCTATGTTACTCGTTGGTAACATAGGGGTCATACTCCCGCCCCATCCTTATGGGTGACCTCTGCCTCACATTCAAGTGCCTGGTTCATGTCAGTCTGCTCAAATCATTCGTTTCAAGCATCAAATCATTAGTTTCTTCACCACCCAACACAATGACAAAAATGTTCATTTTTGAGAGAGAGAGCAAGAGAGAGAGCGAGAGAGAGAGTGAGCAAGAGGGGGAGGGGCAGAGAGAGAGGGAGACACAGAATCCAAAGCAGGCTCCAGGCTCTGAGCTGTCAGCACAGAGCCCGACGCGGGGCTCAAATTCATGAACCGAGAGATCATGACCTGAGCCAAAGTCAGATGCTTAACCAGCTGAGCCACCCAGGTGCCCCATCATTCTTCTCCTTGATCAGCCTCCACAGCCCTATCTTAGAAGAGTGGAAAATTAGGCATAGATAGAATGGTGAAAGCAGCGGTTTCTAACCCTTCTTTTCTTCTTCTTTTTTACAGGAGGAAATTCCCTCAGTGGATATTTTGCCTTAGAGCAAAAATGGTATCTCAGCGTTGGGCTTGCCCCTACATTCATTCATGTTGGTACTTTTTATTTAAGTTTTTATAGTAGCTAGGTTCCCCTTTGCCTAAAAACCCAAGGGAAAAAACCCAATTCTTTAATTTACTCACATCCTGCTAGGCTTTCTCAGGCTATTCATTTTCTTACCCCGCTTCATCTTCAGCTGCAAGGAAGCTGGAGTTTGGAGGAAAGGGGGAGGCAGGTCAACCGGAGGTTGTCCTGACCTCAGAGGGAGAGCCCCCCTGTCGTCAACACCAGGGCTACCCTAGGCTATTGCAACATGTCTGCAGGCTCAATTCTAGAAGAAAATACCATTTACTTCCCAACGTGCTGGGGCTCAGTGGGGCATAAAGAATAAATGAAGTAAATTAACTGACAAGATTTGGTAATTGCCAGTTCCTGAGAACTTCAAAGAGAAACCGTAAAAGGGATCCTGAACCTTCGCGAGCGTTTAGAGACTATCTTGATCCATAAAAATAAAGGAGTGGGGCGCCTGGGTGGCTCAGTCGGTTGAGCGTCCGACTTCGGCTCGGGTCATGATCTCACGGTTCGTGAGTTCGAGCCCCGCGTCGGGCTCTGTGCTGACCGCTCGGAGCCTGGAGCCTGCTTCCGATTCTGTGTCTCCCTCTCTCTCTGCCCCTCCCCCGCTCATGCTCTGTCTCTCTGCCTCAAAAATAAATTAAAACATTAAAAAAAATAATAAAAATAAAGGAGTGATGTGCTCTGCAGATTTGGAGAGGACCTCTTCTCTTGTTTTGAGGGTGCCCCTGGGTCCCTGGCTCTCAGAGACCACCCAGCCAGCAAAATTGACAGTTGCTTAAAAAAAAAAAAAAAAGAAAAGAAAAGGCATAATGCTTGCTCTGCTTACCGCTCGGATCTGTGGACTGTTTTTAGTCTAAGGGTGATTTTATTTTTTTTTATTTTTATTTATTTTATTTTTTTTTTCAACGTTTATTTATTTTTGGGACAGAGAGAGACAGAGCATGAACGGGGGAGGGGCAGAGAGAGAGGGAGACACAGAATCGGAAACAGGCTCCAGGCTCTGAGCCATGAGCCCAGAGCCCGACGCGGGGCTCGAACTCACGGACCGCGAGATCGTGACCTGGCTGAAGTCGGACGCTTAACCGACTGCGCCACCCAGGCGCCCCACTAAGGGTGATTTTAAATTCTTCTCTTCCTGCCATGGCTGTTCCATGCTGTGCCCCATCTCAAATCTTTATATCCAGGTTTGATCACACGGAAATGAACTCTGAGCATCGTCAAGGAACCACGAATGGGGGAAGAGGCGGTAAAGAGGGGTCAGAAGGCCTACTTTGGTCGACAAGGATAGTCATGATCTTGGGGTGGGCTGGGGGGGATTTAGTGTAGATATGTGAGACAGGACCAAAGATTGAAGGCGCCCGTTTTACCGCCTGGCTGGTGAAGCCAATTTCACTGCTCGACTGCCACATATGAATATGGACTGCAGGTCTTTTCTTAGCTCTTCCTGGCAAATACTCTTGTAGCTCCTCCTCTCCCGATCCCTCCCTGGCCATCAATTACCTCCAAAGCAAAGTCCCATGGCCCTCAAAGTATGGGACCTCTGGCCACTTGGTATTTGTAATGTTGCCCCCTGAAACCCTTATGTCTCCTGAGCTCACACACTTGGATTTTGGCATCATATTCTTCAACTGTAAAGCCCTTCACTTCACGGCCAGTCAGAAGACCTAACTAAGCAGGCAAGACTAATGCATCTAGGCAATGGCCAATTGACTCCACGGAAATTTGTTCCTCTCATTGTCCAGTATCCACGGACAGCTAGGTTTCACTCTGTCCCTAATAGCCATTTGACTTTGGGGAAAGACCTGTCTTTTCTCTAGATTTTAGTTTTCTCCTCTTTACAAATGAGAAGCTGGCTGGGCAGTCAGTCATATTTCTTTCACCCGCACGTTCTCTCTTTTTTTTTTTTTTAACTTGAGAGAGCGCTCAAGCAGGGTGGGGGAACAGAGGGACAGAGAGAGAATCTTAAGCAGGCTCCGCGCTCAGCAGGGCTCCATCCCACAACCCTGGAATCGTGACCCGAGCCGAAAGCGAGTCAGACGCTCAACCGACTGAACCACCCAGGCGCCCCTCTGCTGTACGTTCTGAGCTTTGTAACTGAAATGTTGAAGATCAGAACCGCACGCTCCAGAAGGACTTAAAAATAATAGTACCTAACATGCACTCTCCATGTATTAAGGCATTTAATCCTCTTTAGAATCCTATGAGTGAGTATTGTAATTGTGACTCCTATTTGCTGGGTGAGGAGAATGGCACACGGAGGTCGAGCAGCTTAAACTGTCATGCAGTAGGTGGTGCAAAGGGATTTGAACTCAGACATTCTGGCTGTAAGCTAGGTAGACCAGGAGAGATACAGGATAATAGGCTGATCTGAGGACTGAGCTCCCTTGACGATATTGTGCTTAGGTGAGAATCACAGTTTATCTGCCAGTCAATAGCGGTTAGCAGGAACCAAGACGAGAACCAGCCGGTGCCCTCTCTACCACCTGCTTGGTTCTCCCGCGTTATTTGGGACACCTATTACCATGGATAAGCACAAGCACTGTGTGGCAGTGGTGTGAATCAGGATGATTCTGGAAGGCAAAGCCTAGAATCACGAAGATAAAACGACCAGCTTGGGATCTCTTTACCACCTACCGACCTGTCAGCGTATGGATGTTGTTTGGGGTAAGAAATGTTCATGTGATACTGAATGAGGGAACACAAGAAACCTGCCAAAGAGAGCCACTCCCAAGACCGATTTCAAGAAATAAGCTGTGTCTCCAGGGGTCTTGAAAACATAGCCACCCTGAGGTCCTGACCGCCCTATTCTGATGTCCTGGCTGTTCCCCTCAAGAGCAAGTGCCTTTAGTGCCTTTCATGGAAGCCAATCCTAGCCCAGGGAGATCTTTGCACAGGAAAGACATCATGCTCACTCATTTCTAAAACAGGCCCATTAAGAACCCCAAACTCAACAAGACTCTACGAGGAAAGTTCTTGCCACCTCACTACAGAGAGGCAGTGATGAAAATGTAGAAAGCTATCTTGAGTCTAAGCTCATGGCCATTAGGGCCCAAGGTCTTGAATGGGGCCTCTTTTCAACGCTAAAACATTATGGGGTGTTAGATGTTGTTTCGTTCTGTGCCCTTCAGGTCTCTTCCATCTTCAGTCCTCTTGGAGCAGGGTGGGGCTGAGCCGGGAACTAGTATAACAACTCAGGTTGCAGTTATCCTTGGGCGAACCAGCACAGCCGCAAGTCAACACCACCTTTTGGGGGAATCTAACACATCAGTGCTGTTTGATGACAGGTGTTATGGCCAACTTGGAAGGAATGCCACGCATCGACACTTTCTTTGACCTTATCAACTGAATAGCTATGTGGCATACATCCTATCATACTGAGTGCAATACCTTTCTTCCCCCGGAGCTAACAGCACACCATAAGAAGAAGTTACAGATTCTTTGCCACCATGTCACTGACTTATCTACTGTACTTTGTAACCCAAAACTATGAATCATCCGTCCTAACTTTTCAGCTAACAAAACGTGTTCCTTTTGATACAATCTCTTCTTTATCGAGATTTATTTGTTCTGAAGCCTGATGCATTCTTAGGGCATTATTTCTTGCCGAAGGCACCTCTCCCTCAGTGTTTGTTTAATGATAATTTTTCTTTTAAGCTCTTCCTGAGTAGTATGCTTGTCCTTTCTCAAGGCTTTATACTCCTAGTCAACTGAGTCAACTGTCAGATTTCCCGCCTTCATCAAATACGGGCAGGGGGGCGGGCATCTTTCCTTTTCTTTCTGAACAGTGCTAAAATTCTGAATTCCTTAGGAACAGAACTCAGAGACAATCTCTTACCTTTAACCCACTTCTCTTCTTATTCATTAGTTTTAATTTCTAATGAATAGAATTCAGTGATTCTGAGTGATGCAACAGATCATTTATTCATTCCAGCACTAGTTGAAGAGTAACCATTCTTTGTTGGGGACCCAGAGATGAAGAAACATGGTCTGCTCTCAGGACGCTCACAATACGGTGAGCAAGATAAGGTCATGATTAGAAAAGCAATACGTGCTCCGAGAAAAGGTCTGTAAGGCCTCTGTAGGTGTGCAGATCCCAGAAAATCCATCCAAAAGCCAAGAAATGATGCTTGACCTGAACTTTAAAGGACAAATAGCAGGCCTTCTGGAAGAGTCCAAAAAACAAGTGGATTGATGTGGTTGCAGCAGACAGAGGGACATAACCAAGGGAGTGGCTGGAGTCATGGTCGGTTCATGAAGGCCTTTGTCCCGTGGGCTAAGAAATTTGAACTTTTCTCTTTAAAAAGAGAGGAAGCACCAAAGGGGAGAGACAGCAGAATTGGAATATAGACGGGTATCACGTATGAAAGAATGAGATCTCTGCTAAGTTCACAGAAGTTAGTGAGATTCTACGTCCCCATTTGCTTCATCTGACACTGCCTTTTGGCCCCAGGCATGGCTTACAGAGCATGTGGAGACTAGTCCGGGCTTAGCGCCAGTTCATGGTGCCAGCCTACCTCTCCAGGAGACTTACGGCAATGACCTTCTTCAAACTCTGAGAGGGTTATGCTTGTTCAGTATTCTGCTCTGTACAGTGATCATCCCAGAAGCCTTCTGGAACACGCTCTCATTGCATAAGGTCATGAAATAAGGAATCTAGATGGTGGAGAGCCATGTAAATGGCACTCGGAGATGGGAAGAGACAGCGTGTGCAGAGACAGCAAGCCCCACGTGTGACATCTCAAATAAAGGGAGGTAGGGGAAGAGGGGGGGAAAAAAAGAAAATTCGCTGGTTCTCTTCCATGAGAGTGTTGCTGCACGGAATCTTACACATTTCCACCTAGAAGCCAGGGTACCAAGAGATAGAGTAAATGGTCTCAGCCCACACGGCAAAGCAGTAGAAAATTAAGAAAACAAAGCACTTGGGTTTGCTTGCTTCTTTTTTCCAATCTCTGGTCTCCATGCCCAAAGGAGCCTTCCTGTCACATCAGGTTAAACATTCTCCCTTGGAAATCATGCCTTCGCAGAGCTGAAGGAGGCTTGTAAGTGGAAATGTCATTACTTTAAAAAAAAAAAAAAAGGCTCATGTAATGTCCTAATCATCTCCTATTATTGTTCCGATCTGTAGCATGGCCCACGGTGCACTAATGTACTTAAGGCTCATCAGAGACCCGGGAAACTGCTCAGGAGAACAATTTGATGCCTAATGATCCCTGAAAAATTATTTTCATGTTTTTCCCTGGACACTGACTTTCTAAATTTTCCTTGAGAAATTATGGGCACAGCTAATTAATACATACCAGAATCTGATGAGTGATCAGAATTTATCTGGTTCCG